AGGACTTGTGTCGCTAAAGTTTCGTCGGAACGAATTTACTGGAAAGTTAATTAACAAACGGAGACGTAACAATATAATAAAAAATTTTCATGAGATCTGCTTGCCAACAACTACTATCCGGAAAAAGATGTACTAGATTTTGTATACTTGGAGGGAGAGGACTTTTACCAGTATGTACAAAACTATTTATGTATAAGAAAGGTTAATTCTATGTCGAAAAGTAAGGAGGAGAAGAGAGAAATACACAATGTTTGAGCTATGTAGCCTTTCTTTCTGTTTACTTTTCAGTTTGGAATTAATCTCTACTTGTTTCTTTTGCAGCCTACACACTAATACAACTTTCCACTCTAACCTATTTGTGTATATATTGTACATGTAATTTCCCCATTTTAATTGTTGTTACTATATTACTTAATAGTAGTAATGGTTGTATACTATTTTTTAAAACTTGTTTATTTTTTAATTTGTACTTTGAAATATAATTAATATGCTTCTACAGTAAAAGTTGCATCTCCCCATTAGCTAGCTTGCCCCACTGTTTGTGCACCATTGATCTAGTGTAAAGATTCTGATAGCTTGTTATTGTGTTGCTTACATCATGATTTATTTTTCTCTTTGTACATTTTTTAGGAACTAACAGGGGTGCCACAGGAGGTTGGAGAACTTGCACAGATTGTTATGTAAAAAAAATCTTTAGTCATTTTATTTGCCCTCAGTTTGGCAGTGTTTGTGATGGCCAAAACCTCAGGACCTCAGCAATAAAACTTTTCAAATGGAAAATCATATATTTATTTAGCATAGTAATTCATGGAATTTTTTTAGTTTTCATTCTTTCATCTGACACAGTGGTTGTAGAATTATTTTAGTTTATGTTCTAAAATGGAAAACCTGATGTGACTACAAAAAGAAGTGGCAGCTGCGAGATTTATTAATCAAGATTAAATTTTTTTTGTAAGGGAAAAAGTAGATTTTTTAATTCTTATTTTTTGTTTATATAAAAGTTGTGTGTGGTATGTAGGAGTGCATTAATTTATCCAGATAAAATTGGTTTATCTTGGGAGTACAAAATTTGTTTTATTTATTAATTAAAAACAACCAATGTCTCCAACAGTATCCACAGTTGAATGCAATTCGTTAGAGGTAAAGTTATCTATAACTAGTTTTTTTCTACAGAACATATTAATCGGGTACTAGACCATGTAGTTATGGTGTTTTTAAGATATAGAGGAATAAATTTCTAGTTAGTTATCATATTACTGTTTTTCTTTAATTACAAGCATTTTAAATTATTACAAAAGCTTATAATTTGCTGTTTTGAAGGGGCAAATCTGTAGTTATTACTAATTATTCATGAATATCAGTTCTTTATAGTAATCAGAAAATCTTCAAGATATTTTTAAGTAATTCTAAATGAAATAATCTAACATGTCATAAAAAGTTTCCTTTTTTTGACATGTTTACTGTTGAAGATAAAAAGATTTGAAGCAGGTTATACCAGTTTCTTTAAATACATGAATGTAATGAAATGTGAATTTCTACCATATGCTTACTATCTTTGTCTTTACTAGTAAACAGTGTTGATTCATTTCCACTTAGTTTTTCAACATGTAAGCTTGGCTGACAGACTGGCTTTTTTTTCTGTGTTTTTATAATTGCAAGTAAATTAAAAACAACTGCTGCAATATTTACTTTTTACAAACGTAAGCAAGTTGAGAAAAAAAAATATTCGTTTATTATCAGTTGTATTTTCTTTTAATCTGGGAACAGGCCATGAACCAGTTGGAATGGCATTTGCTGCTGAACTGGTTGTTTTTTCATAATAGAAATTCAACAATAAAAGCTGTTTCAGTACAAAATAGCAAAGTTTTTGTTTTATTTTGTAATTTATTGCAGTGACTATAATAAAAATTAAGTGGTATCAGAAGAGTGAAATATGGCTAATGTGTATTTGGCATAATTTGATGTATTTAAGAAAAAGATTTAGTCAACAATCACATTTGGTCATATATTTAATTTACTTAATTACTTTATTTAATTAACTCATTTACCAAATGTCTTTTTATATTCCTTTTTGTACTTGTTAATTTTTTGTTTTCTACAGGTTATTAAAACTTGATGTTACATTTTATGTTAAAAAAAAAGATATTTTCTACATGAAATGTAATATTTGTTTCAAGTTGTTATAGTCACATGCACATTTTATAAAGAAGTCAAACTTAAAGTTTTATAACTTTAATAGATTGCAAATTACCTTTGTAAAGAAAAGGGGCCAACATTTAGGCTGCTATACTGAGGCCTTCTTCAGGGTCACAGTAGGCACTTGTGTAGTGTCTTATAAGGGTAAGCATGACCTTGTATTAAAGATTTAATCTGTATAGGTTGAGCAGATATTAGTTAGTAGGACTATGATATAATCATATTATATGCAGAGTTTGTCTAGGGTGGTTTTCCACAGGTTGTTGAGATACAAGCTATTGTTTCTGTTGAGTTCAAGCTGGTGAAGTTCCAATGGCAAGCTTTGTCTGAAATTCATGTTGATCCCATTTTTTAATCTGAACTCAGCAGAAACAATTGCTTATACATCAGTGACCTGTGGACAACCATCCTCAACAGACTCTGCCTGTTGCCACACCCACTCAACCTACACAGCTTGGAGCTTTACTGTTCATTACACAAGCAGTAGCAGTCTTTTGAGGTTCTTAAACCTACTATGTCTACTCTGCCTAAAGTTTCACTGAAACAACAGACAAATTGAAATACATGGTGGACTTCAGCCTTTTATGATATATTTCTTTCAGATAATTGTTTATATTATGCTTCTGTATTTTTTCACATATAATTTTAATCATTGTTTTTAATGCACTTAATTTTTTGCATGAAGTATGGTTACTGTGTGTGTATATACAATGAATCTGATTCGTGCCAAACTTGTGTTATTTTGCTTTTGTTTTTTCTTCTGAGCATGGTAAGAATTATTTTGAGTGTATCAGTATATCTTAATAGAACAGTTATGATATTTTTGTTGATTAACAGTCTTTCTGATTAAAGTTATGTAACTACTTATCCTGTTAGAATTAGCAACTGTTAATTAATTTGTCCATTTGATGAGTGTCATATACATGAATTGTACATCTAATTCATTTGGTTCTGTTGTCCACCTGATTAGAACAAGACAGATTATACAAGAGTTTTCTACTGGAATATAGTTTGAGCTGTAACGAAACACAGGGTTTTCTACAAGAATGTAAAAAATCTAAAGGCGACTTGAATTAGATGTGTAAAATAAATTTGTTAGAAACGTAAATAATCAGTTCAAGAAGAACGGTAATATTGAAAGAAGATATGATAAATAATAAAAGTAACAAACTTGGACTTTGAAAATCAAGATTTAAATTCGATAATAAACAATCTTTAAAATTAGGGTTATGGTCATGGAAAAATGGATTATTACCTAATACTTTGGTGGGCTAATACATTTATTTCTTTCGATTTGTTTGTAATTAAGTACAAAGATACACAATGAGCTATCTTTGCTCTGCCCACCACGGGTATCGAAACCCGGTTTCTAGCGTTGTAAGTCCGCATATATACCGAACACTTCTTTCGAACATTTCGTTATTAATTAGCTTGAATTGAACATTTTTTTTGGTTGTTCTAAAACTCGAGGGGTGCATTTATTATGGACTACTGTTACTGTTACGAGACTACGCATTACTAATCTTTGTAAATCTCATTACCATTACATTGACGTTTGCATTGAAAACAACAACTCAATCTCTATTGTTATGTGAGGAGATTATGAAATAGATAAAGTTTCTAGTCTAATAACTGTCTTTTTAAAATCAAAATTAGAAACATTATATAAAGTTCAATAAATTCGTTATTCTGGGCGTTAAGGCCAAAGTTCAGTGAAAGATAAAATTTATTGTCATCTTTACCTTCTGCCAATTTCCTTTTTAAATTCTAGACCGATGTACTACCAATTAGAAACTCCTCTAGACCGATATACTACCAGTGAGGAACTCCTTTACCAATGTAGTAATAATTAGAAACTCCTCTAAACCGATATACTACCAGTGAGGAACTCCTTTACCAATGTACTACCAATTAGAAACTCCTCTAGACCGATATACTACCAATTAGAAACTCCTCTAGACCGATATACTACCAGTGAGGAACTCCTTTACCAATGTACTACCAATTAGAAACTCATTTAGACCGATGTCCTACCAATTAGTAACTCGTTTACACCGATGTCCTACCAATTAGTAACTTGTTTAGACCGATGTACTACCAGTGAGGAATTCCTCTAGACCGATGTACTACCAATTAGAAACTCCTCTAGACCGATGTACTACTAATTAAAAACTCATCTAGACCGATGTACTACCAGTGAGGAATTCCTCTAGACCGATGTACTACCAATTAGAAACTCCTCTAGAGCGATGTACTACTAATTAACAACTCATCTAGGCCGATGTACTACCAATTAGAAACTCCTCTAGACCGATGTACTACCAATTAGAAACTCCTCTAGACCGATATACTACCAATTAACAACTCAT